AGTTTCTCATGAAACAGTAGTACACATGTTGTTTTATGACATTGGTTAACAACCCCACAACATATTAACCCTCTAACTTCTCAACTTTTTTTTTTGGTGAAACTACACATAGCCAAAGATAAACCGTTTCAAAAATTTCTACATGCACAGTTCAGTGACATTGACTATGCTCTTCCAACTGTGTCAAGCGAATACTTTTGATTAAAATTTCAAATAAATGTGTTGAAAGTTGCAGCCTCAGCACAACTTACAATTTGATACTGTGTTTGGATTTGAGATTAGCTGAAGCCCAGCAGAAATTCATAGTTCTTACCCTGAAATATGAATTTCCCTTCCCCATTGTAGCCTCTGTGGAGCACTCTAGTAACAGATCCTGGCAGTCCACACCTGGGGTCTCTGTCACAGTGGGTCTAAGCTGATGCAGGGGTCTTCAGAAATGCCTCATGAACCCATATGAGAAAATGTTAGTGTCAGAGCACTTACTGCATAGTCCTCCTTCCTACCCCCTTTATTTGAGAATTTGGTCGCCATGAGTCGGAATCAACTTACGGCGGCTGGGTTTTTTTTCATAGTATTGTGACAGGCTTGCAGGATAGGATAAGGTTTGTGCCTTGGTCCTGTAACATTCTTAGCTTTTTACCTCAGTTTGCTGAAGTGACTCACCTAGCAAACGGTCATTTTTTTTTACGTTAAATGGAATTTAAGCATTTACTGCTACTTTTCCTTAAAGACACTGACATTTGTAAGTTACTGCAAAGTAGTTTTTATATTTAGAAAAAAAATTTTTTTCTTTCATTTTGAGATTTAAGAGCTTTAGTCCAGGGATAGAAGCCACTTACTTCTGCCAGGATGACCAGTGCACTGAGGAACTGTGGTATACAGTGGAATATTATATAACCATTGAAAGGAATGATTCTAATACATGCTACAACTTGGATGAACCTTGAGAACATTATGCAAAGTGAAAGAAGCCAGACACAAAAGGACAAATATTGTATAATCCCCCCACTTACAGAAATATCTAGAATAGGCAAATGCATAGAGACAGAAAGTAGATTAGTGGCTTCTAAGGGCTAGGTGGGGAAGGGAGAATGGGGAGTTAATGCTTACTGGGTACAGAGTTTCTGTTTGGGGTGATGAAAAAGTTTTGGGAAACAAATAGTGGTGATTGTTGGACCACATTGTGAATATAATTAATGCCACAGAATTTTACATTTTGAAATGGCTAAAATGATAAATTTTATGTTATATGTATTTTACCACAATTAAAAAAATAAAATTTTGAGAGTACTTGTTTTATTTTTTCATGATCACTTATTCCCTTCTCCTGATTCTGTAGTTTTACAAAAAGGTAACCTATAACAATATATTAACTTTGTTTAAGGCTGATGTGTTTTTATTTCCAGCGTCTTTAAGAACTAACTGTTGTAGAATATCTTAAATAGTTTATCCTCTCTCTAATTTCTTAATTTTTATAGTACTTCCTTATTACTTGGCAAATAAATTATAATTTTCAGAGAGCTGTGGATTATACATTGCTATATGTATAATTGTGCATTGTAATGCTCTTTTTGCATTTTCTCTTCTTTTCAAAGGTTTTCTTATTGTCCACTTGGCATATGCTTCTGGAATAATATTCACCATGGTTTTGGATGACCTTCCAAACTTAGAACACATCTATACTTCCTTGTGTTCATCAGCAGTGGAAGACTCAGAGATGGATTTTGACTCTGGACTAGAAGATGATGATACAAAAAGTGATAACATTTTGGAGGAGTCCACTATCTTTGTGGCCTTCAAAGGAAATATAGATGATAAAGACTTCAAATGGAAATTGGACACAATATTGGAGAATGTGTCCAATTTGTTACACATGGGTAATTGCCTAAATTATTTTTTCCTTATTGTTATTCTTTTTTGAAGTGTTTGTTTTCCATGGTTATCTCAAGTTTTATACAAGCAGTCCCCAAGTTACGAATGAGATCCGTTCCTAGGTATGTCTTTAAGTCAGATTTTAGGTAAGTTAGAACAGGTGCGTAGGGTTCTTGTTTAGCCTTACTTTAGTGCAAGAAAAGGCTCAGAGCCTTTTCAGTGATTCAAAAGTTGCATGTGCAATAAGTGAAGGTGATTGTGATAAAGAATTCGTTGTGAGTAGGGGTTGGTTCATTGGTTTCAAAGTAGGGGCAAATTTACATAATATTAAAGGGCAAGTACAAGTTGTGTGTAAGTTGGAGGTTTGTAACATGGGAGCTTACTTTATATTCAGACTGCTAAACTGGGATGAAAGGCTGATTTTAAGTGCGAAGTTTGAATTACAGGGTTTTTTATTATTATAGAAATGCTGTTGTGTTTCCTTTCAGTACGTGGAGGAACTGAACATAGCAAAGTATTGCTTCACATAGAAATCATTAAATAATCTGCTCTAGAGGATAAGAGTAATTCTCAAGACCCAAATTAATTTACAGTGTTATTTTTAACCTGGTATTGGATTTCCTTACCTGTAAAATGAAGGGGTTGGACTGGATCTTTAATACCCCTTAAAACTTAGAAAAATCTGTTATTCCATGATTCTACTTACAGTGTACTTGAAATTATTCTCTTAAATTTTAGATCAGAGGTCACTGACAGCAGTAGTACCTGCAGCCATGTGTTACTTGGCCTGCTTTATAGTGTTTGGTTTTTTCTTTTTTTTTTTAAATGTTTGAATTTAGTTGTCAGTGTTTTAAAAATTGGCATGTTTTACACAAAAAGCTAGATTTTGGATTTCTCTTTAAAAATGGGAAGGTCTGATAATGTAACATTGAGCTCTCCCTCTTTCCCAAATGGTGCTGAGCATAGCAGCTGCTAGGTGAGGACTAGATCTCACTTCACCACAGTTCCCATCAGGCCTCTTAACACATTTGGATTACCCGTCTGGCTCCTATGGGCATTTGTGTTTGACCCTTGGTTTAGATGTTCTCCATCTGTTCTGGTTAGCATCTGTCTTAGTCATCTAGTGCTGCTTTAACAGAAACACCACGAGTGGATGGTTTTAACAAAGAGAAGTTTATTCTCTCACAGTCCAGTAGGCTACAAGTCCAAATTCAGGGCATCAGCTCCAGGAGAAGGCTTTCTCTCTCTGTCGGCTCTGGAGGAAGGTCCTGGTGATGCATCAGTCTTCCCTTGGTCTGGGAGCGTCACAGCGCAGGAACCTCAGGTCCAAAGGATGCGCTCTGCTCCCAGCATTGCTGTCTTGGTGGTGTGAGGTTCCCATGTGTCTCTGCCTGCTTCTCTCTTTTATATCTCAGAAGAGATTGGCTTAAGACACTATCCAATCCTGTAAACCTCATCAGTATAACTGCTACTAATCCATCTTACTACATCATAGTGACTGAGTTTACAATACAACGAAATCACATCAGATTACAAAATGGTACACAATCATACAGTACTGGGAATCATGACCCAGCCAAGTTGACAGATATTTATGGGGGACACAATTCAATCCATGACAGCATCGTTATCTAATCCCTGCAGACACAGTACAAAGCCCAGATTTTATCCTTTTATCAGAAATCCTGATTTGGTCAGGTGCTAATTAGCTTTTTCAGATTTGGAGGGTTTTTTCTTTGAGATTTGATATCAAGTTATTGAATAACTTTCTTTTTAATCAGGTGCCTGGGCCTGGGATTTACTTTCCCATCTGTAAAATGTAATTACAAACAACATTACCTCCTCAATTAGTTACTTTTTGTATTTGCTTTTAAAAATATGTCCAGATGTTCGCATTAACTTTTCAAACTTGCTGAAATGCTGACGTGTATGTTTTCACATCCTGGCTAGAACTTATTTGCCAAATTTCTGTTATTTTTTTCCCCTCTGTTTGATGTGCTTCTGTGGAAATTCTACTGTTGTAGACTTAATTAAGTCTCCTCCTTAATTGAAGCATTTATAGGACATTGGAAGAAATGTTTTCTCTGTGACTTTATGAATATCTTTCACAGAGATGCCCAATTAATATTTAAATATTTTGGTTTTAAATATTTCAGATATTTAATTTGAATAGGTAAAATTGCTTAGCATTTTATAAATAAAACTATTCCTTTTTAGTGCTCTTTTCTTTAAATAAATTTAGTGCAGGGCTTCAAACCTCTGCTGAGAATTTGCATTTCCACCCTAGATATACTGAATCAGAATCTGCAGTTTATCAAGATCCCCAGGTGATTCTTATGTATAATAAATTTTGAGAACCACTGCTCTACTAGTGGTTCTCAGAATTGGTCCCTAACCAGCAGCGTTAGCATTGCCTGGGAACTTGTTAGAAATGTGAATTCTCAGCAGGGGTTCCAACCAAAAGGAACCCATTCAAAACCCTAGTTTAGTGGATTAAGCTGCAGATTCCCTAATATTCTGCATCCAATGTTTTTATAGAATTTCACTTGACATTTGAGACTTTTATGTTCTCAGCTTCTCAGTTCACAATCATTGAACTGAACCCAGAAGTAAACATTATTCTATTAGTTTAAACTTATCTCTCTCTTCTCTCTTATATTCCTTATTCCATCTTAATGCTTTCCATTTATTCAGTGCCTACTATGTGTCAGGTAGTATGCTGGGTTTTTTGCATGTATTATCTCATTTAGTACTCACAGTCTCATGAGGTAGTTTTTCCATAGTTTTAAAGAAGAGAAAAGTAAGTTTCAGGAAGGCTGTATAGTTTGTTCCTGGTCACCCAGGTGCTAAGTGGGAAAGCTGGGATTAGATTTAAAGTCTGTCTAATGCCAAAGCCCAAGCTCTTGCAACTAATCCAAGCTGGTACTCCTTTTTGTTTTGTTTTTGTGCAATGTTTTCTGGTGACTAAAAGATTATTAATATTATTCTTTTTCTTTCACAATCAAGAATCCAGCAAGCTAAAGGTGCAGAAGGTGGAGCCCTGGAACAGTGTGCGTGTGACATTTAACATCCCCCGGGAAGCAGCAGAGCGGCTAAGGATCCTGGCTCAGAGCAACAACCAGCAGCTTCGGGATCTGGGGATTCTCTCCGTTCAGATTGAAGGTCTGTTATTTTACCATGTGCCCATTTGGACTAAAATCATAACAACAGTAAAATACAGCAAGATTTTCTAGGCTGCTTTGTCTGTTCCTCTGCTCTTATGTTCCATAATGCCAGGTGACTCACGTAACCTGGGCTTCACGTTATAACACCTCAGGATAAAGAGGGTTTTGCTGGTCCTTATACTCTTAAGCATCCATAGCCATAGTACCATTCCTTCTTTGGCTGATTTTGACCGTCAGTCTCTCAGACTGTGGTTTTACTGGCACCCTGACCAGAAACTGATTTGTCTTTTAAAGACTATCGCTTCCATCCACCAAAACCAAACCCAAACCCATTGCTGTTGAATCAATTCTGACTCACGGCGACCCTATAGGACAGAATAGAATTGCTCCATAGGGTTTCGAAGGCTGTAATCTTTACGGAAAGGAGCCCTAGTGATGCAGTGGTTAAGCACTTGGCTGCTAGCCTAAAGGCCAGTGGTTCGAACCCACCACGTGCTCCACAGGATAAAGATGTGGCAGTGTACTTCTGTAAAGATTACAGCGTTGGACTCCCTGTGGGGTAGCTCTATTCTGTCCTGTAGTGTTGCTGTGAGTCGGAATCGACTCAACAGCAACGGGTTTGGTTTGTGTTTTTAATTTTTACGGAAGCAGACTGCCACATCTTTATCCCACAGAGACTGGTGAGTTTGAACCACCAAGTTTTCAGTTAGCAGCTGAGTGCTTAACCCCTGTACCACCAGTGCTCCTTTCCTTCCACCAACTAAGCCTTAGTATTTTTCTTTTTCTTTTTCTTTATTCATCTAACGCAGATTAGGAGGCCCTGAACAGTCCTCATGTAGCAGTATTCATTTTTCAAATTTTATCCAGAATGGTCTTTTCAAAATGAAAACATTCTCAACACACACACATATATACACATTCAATTTAAAACCCTGCTATGGCTTGCCACTATTCATAGAATAAAGACCAGACTCCTTAAAATGACCTTAGACCTTGCATGATCTGACCTCCACCTTCCTCACCCAGCCTTATCTTGTATAGCTCTACTCACTTGCTGTCTGCCTCTCCAGCTTTCTTTTGATTCCTTAAACATGCAGTTCTTCCTTCTACCAGAGGTTCCCTTGGCACTGATATCTTCTCTGTATGGAATGTTGTCTGTTACTACTACCTGTTCCCCTAGTTAATCCCTACTCAGCCTTCAGGTATCAGCTCGGATCTTGAAGATGCGTTTTCTGAACCCCTAGACTAAGTCAGAGTCCTTTGTTATGTGCTCTCACAAAAGTCTGTTTCTTCCCTTCAGATTATCTTACGCTTTCATTAGAGCAATTATTTGATTATTGTTTTATTTCCCCATTAGACTGTAAGCTCCAGTAGGTCAGGAACCATGTCTGGTTTTGCTCACTGTTGTTTGCCTGGCTTGCCTGGTACATGTTAGGTTCTTAGTAAACATCTGTTGAATGAAAGGAAGGTAAGCGCACATACAATAGCACCGCCCTGCTCCAGCACTTGGAATACAAAGATTAAACAAAATATGGTCCTTGTCTTTATGAATTCAAAAGAGCTCATGACCTTAGTGAGAAGGACAGACCTGTAAGGGATTTAACTGTGAGTGTGGGGGAGAACAAACGGGGTTCAGTCTTCGGGTGCCCAGAGATAGAACTGGCACTTCACATCCCCTCCTGTATTGATGTAAAAAAGGTGGCAACCAGTGATTCCAGCTTTCCCTTCCACTGGTGAGCCAAGTCTTGCTGACCCTGTGCTTACTTAGAGCCTAAATGCTCCACCAAACCATAGAAGTGGTATAATTTTGTATATAGGAGTGAGACTAATTATTTGCAGTCTAAGATTGTAGGTTACTGTGCTCCAAACGGGGCAATACCAACAAGCAGAAATTATTTAGAGAGGATTATGTGTAGATTGATAAATGGGGTAAATTTGATTATTTCATAAATGAAGGAATAGTGGCTTAACAGTAACTAGTTTATTATAAAAATGTTGGATTATCTAAAAGGTTGATCCAGAAAAGTAAAATTAATTTATAGCAGTCAAAGTTGAACAGTTGGGAAGAGTGGAAGCTGAACAACTATTGGATACATAACAACATATAGACTGTTTCTGCTTTATGGAACACATAAGCAATTTCTTATTTACCTGTTTCTTATTTACTTATTTAGCTATTACCTATTTATCTAAATTAAAAGATTTTGCGACCTTAATTAGTATTGTTTTCTATTAGAGGAAGGAAACACCAATTTCTTCTCTTTATCAAGCTTATTTCCTGCAAGTTCTTAAAAGGGAAAATGCTGGCTCCGCTTTATTGTTATAGCCATAAATTGAAAACAGAAGTACCAGGAAGGAAGCAAAATAAATAACATATTTTAAAAAATTATGAAGTTTGCATATGACAATGATTATTACAGTATAGAAAATGTTCTTTAACTGTTAGAACATATATGTACATGTGTCCCAGGTATCTCCTTTTCTCTCTTTTCACACTCTTTGGGAGTTCAGACAGGAGTGAAAATGGTGGCAGCAGCTGTTGCTTTCATGAAACTGGTGATGGCCGATGCATTTGTAAATTGTAAGAGGAGGTGTGGCCACTGTCATGGTATCTGTTTGAAGGGGTTGGAAGACAGGTTGTTCTCCAACAGATTATTCTCCATCGAAGACTCCCTATACCCTTCCTTTTTGAGTTTTGACCAAGGAGTTGGGGAGTGCCTCTTTTTGGAGGATATTTTGTGACCCCCTCTGTAAATTAATGGTGATCTAAAGCAGGAGCCTGCAAACTTTTTCTGTAAAAAGCCAGATGGTAAATATTTTTGGCTTTGTGAACCATGTTGTCTCTACCACAACTACTCAACTCTTCCATTGTAGCGCAAAAGTAGCCACAGACAATACATAAATGAATTAATGTGCCTGTGTTCCAATAAACCTTTATTTAAATAAATAGGCAATGGGCTGGATTTGGCCCATGGGCCATAGTTTACAAGTTTGGGAGCCAGTATAATACCGCCAGTACAGTGTTCACTACAGTGTGTATTTCTTTGACACAAATTAGCTTATATGCAGTTAGTAAATAGAGGAGTGATAAGTTTAATGTGGAAATTGTGTTTATTCATATGTGATTTTTCCTACGCAAGAGGAACTGGAGTAGTGGCAATCGAATTCTAATTATCAACAGGGGAAAAAAAAAAGCCTTTAGCTCAGCTGCTGCATAGGTGGGAATCTTTTCAGCTCTATTTTAAGAAACTTAAGAAAGTTTGCACTCAGGTGCCTTCCCCAAAAGTGCACCTCCAGCTTTACATGGCTCTCAGCTTATGAAAAATTGCACATTCTCCTGTCTCTACCTTGATGGAAGCCCCACTGCTCAGAGCTCCACTGCCTCTGCATTGTCTCAGTACCTTTAGCCAGGCATTTCCACTCTGTTGTATCTGGGTATGTTGCCTCCACCAATTTTTGTTTTTATTAGTGCTCTGGTGACAAAGTAGCATAGGCTTTGAGTCTGCCCCAACCTTGTTTTTCCCATAAATCCCATTATTTTCAGTGTGAAATTTTACAGAATGTGAGGTTTTTCAAGAACATATATAGAAAAATGCCTATGATTCTTTGTAAGGTTATGATGTCTCTTCATCATATGTTCAGTAAATACCTAATGAGCACCTACCATGTACCAGGCACTGTTTTATGTATAAAGGATATAGTTAGGCTGTATAATCTATCATCTAAATTAGAACTCATTGTGAAAGGGTGTGCTGTTAATAATTATGCTAGGACAATGGATGTAAACTGGGCTGTCCTAGAAACTGGGGAGACTTTTGATTATTCTAATATAGTGATAGGGAGGCAGACAAGAAAACAAGTGAGTGAATAAGTCTAATCACAAAAAGACTTCTGAATGATAAAGTAGGATGTGTTCTGAAGAAAATAAGATGTTTTGATAAAGGATGACCTAGCGCTAGGCTGCTAACCAAATGGTTGGTAGTTGGAGTCCACTGAGAGGCACCTTGGAAGAAAGGCCTGGTGATGTAATTCTGAAAAATCAGCAACTGAAAAGCCTATAGAGTACAGGTCTACTCTATACACATGGGGTCGCCATGAGTTGGAATCGACTCTATACATTTTTTTTTTTTTTTAACCTTGGATAAGATGGCTGGGTGAGGCCATTTTGGACATGTGACACTTAAGCTGACAGGAATATTGAGAAGTTACCTATGTGAAGCGTGCTGGAGAACTGTTCTAGACAGAAGGAACAGCATGTGCAAAGACCTTGAGATGAGAGGCAGTTTTGTGGCCTAAGAAACTAAAAAAATGCCACTGAGGCTCAGTCCTTGTTACTAAAGGTGAAAATAGCATGAGATGAAGTTGGAGAGGTAGGCAAGGGCTAGATCTGGGTTCAGTAAGGTAGCCATAAGCCACATGTGGCTGTTGAGCACTGGAAATTTGATTAGTCTAAAATGATACGCACTTTAAATGTAAAATACACACTGAATTTTGAAGACTTAGTACCCCCCCGCAAAGAGAATGTAAAATATTAATCTCATTAATAATTTTTATATTAATTGCATGTTAAAACAATACATTGGATGTATTGGGTTAAATAAAATATATTACAATTAATTACACCTGTTTCTTTTTACCTTTTTAATGTGGCTTCTAGAAAATTTTAAATTACATGTTATATTTTTATTGAATATCACTGGGATAGGTAGATGATTTGAGGTCTTATATGCCCTCTTAAGGAGTTTGGCTTTTATTTCTAAAACAATTGACCAGTTGTTCAGTTGAACAGTTGACCAGTTTTAAACCAAAACAGTGATATGATCTAATAACTATTTTGAGAATAGTACTTTCTTCTTAGAGTGTCTTAGTAAGTTTGGTATATTAATGGTACTTCCCTTTGGTAAAAAAAAAAAACAAAAAAAAAAAAAACGAAAAACCTGAAGACCTGTATTTTCTTTCTCTTTTACTCCCAATTCCCATAGGCAAGTTTAGAGTATCTTGTAGCCCCCAGTAATTGGTCCCTTATTGACAGGATATTTGTTCCCTATAGCCATCCTACCTCCCTGGATAAAATACTTAATGACCTGGATCAGTGACCAGACAGAGGAAACTGTTGTACCCTCATTAGCTTCTTGCTTTATCAACTGGCTCTGCCAGCCAGGACCCCACATTAAGAAAGGACTCAGGTGAATGCAGGCTTTTAACTCTTAAGCCACAGGCTAGCTGTACTTTTATTTGTCCACAAGGTGGTGCTGTCTTCCATACAACAATCAAAATTTTGGGTTAAGTGTAGGAATCATTCTAAAACTTGTTTCAGAAATCTTTTTGTCATTAGACCAAGTAGGATTTAAATTGCCTCAAAGTTTAGGGCCTACTTAATTGGAACATTTGTAGTGACATTACCTCCTAGGCTATTGTGAGGGTCAAATAGATAAGATTTTATAAACATTAAAAGTCCTGTACAGGGAACACAACAGAGAGTCCCTCATGGAGCAGGAGAAAAGTGGGATGCAGAACTCAAATTCTAGTAAAAAGACTAGACTTAATGGTTTAACTGAGACTGGAGGGACCCTGGAAGATGTGGCGCCTGGGCTCTCTGTTAGCCCAAAACTAAAACCATTCCCAAGGCCAACTCTTCAGACAAAGATTAGACTGGACTACGGGACATAAAATGATACATGTGAGGAGTGTGCTTCTTAGCTCAAGTAGATACATGAGATTAAATGAGCAGCTCTCGTCCGGAGGTGAGATGAGAAGGCAGAGAGGGTCAGGACCTGGCTGAATGGACACTGGAAATCCAGGGTGGAAAGGAAGAGTGTGCTGCCACAGTACAGGGAGAGCAAGTAGGGTCACAAAACAATGTATGTATAAATTTTTGTATGAGAGACTAACTTGATTATAAACTTTCACTTAAAGCACAACAATAAAAAAAAAAAAAGTCCTGTACAAATGTTGGTCTTATCATCAGGTGTCTCAGAAGTAAATTAGTAGCAGCCTATCTACTCTTCATTGCATAAATTTCTCTGCAGGAAATCTGCTGCAGTTATTGACAGGAAATTGATATTTTGCCCACAAGTGTTACAGTTGTCCCTACATCATCCATTCTTTCTTCATCAAGCTTTCTTATACATCTACCTTCTGATCATAAATTCCCAAAAGGAAATCTAGAATTTTGGGATTTCTGAGAATGTTTTTTTCCTCTGCCACATCCCCCCACAAAAAAATTGGTAAGCTAGTTGAAAATCAGTATTCAGAGTTCCAAGCTCTCTGTGAATGCTAAGTATCATTAATTATTGCCTATATGTTATATTGTAAGTGAGAATTGGTTATGATGTTTTCCTTGTGCTTCACGTTAAGTAAACCTGCTCAGATGGGATTGAAGAAAGACCCATGTAGTATTGAACTTATGCTTTTTGTGGTGGTAAACTTACCATAATTCTTTAAAAACACAAAAAATCAGGGCTCTTCTGTACCTGTTTTTGAACAAAATTTGCCTTGGTTTTTCTTATTGTGATGATTTCCTTTTTTATAAATTGACTATCATTTTCAGGGGAAGGTGCTATCAACCTGGCTTTGGCTCAGAACCGAAACCAAGATGTAAGAATGAATGGACCTATGGGAGCTGGAAATTCAGTTAGGATGGAGGCAGGATTTCCCATGGCAGGTGGTCCAGGTGAGATCTCCCACTCAGTTGTATGACATCTTTCTAGTTTCTTTCTCTTTGTTTTTGACTTGATTTGCAAATGTGTAATCATATGGGTCCAGCAAGATAGGCTGGGCTGGTGACACACCAACATTTCTATTTACTGGATCAGAAAAGCAAGACATGGGTCATTCTCAGGAGACTAGGGTCACAGTGCATGGACCAAATACCCTTTGCAGTCTTTTGGGCTCATGCTTAAAGGTAGATGAGCACTGAGCCATGCAGCAAACATTTATTGAGTTCCTGTTGTATGTCAGGGCCTATGCTAAGTGTTAGAAATGAAAATGAATAAAAAATGTTCTACCTTCAAGATGTTTACAATGTAGTAGAGAATGTAGCTTTCCAAATCCTTATCACATTTTCTAAGGCTGAAAATCTGTGACCTCAGAGTTCTTGTGTGCTTATGTGAAACCTACATAACTATATGGGAGAACCTGTCTAATTATGTATTTAAAATTTGAGAGGGTTATATTTTAAGTGTTCTTCCTTTTTAAAAAAAAATATTGTGATTTTTCAAACACTTAATGCGCATCAAAAGACTTTAACAAAAGAGTAAAAAGACAACCTACAGGCTGGGAAAAAATTTTGGCTACGACAGATCCGATCAGCGTCTGATCTCTAAAATCTACAAGATACTGCAAAACCTCAACAACAAGAAGACAAACAACCCAATTAAAAAATGAGCAAAGGATATGAACAGGCAGCTCACCAAAGAAGACATTCAGGCGGCTAACAGACACCTGAGGAAATGCTCACGATCATTAGCCATTAGAGAAGTGCAAATCAAAACTACAGTGAGATACCATCTCACCCCAACAAGACTAGCATTAATCCAAAAAACACAAAACAAATGTTGGAGAGGTTGTGGAGAGACAGGAACACTTACACACTGTTGGTGGGAATGTAAAATGGTACAACCACTTTGGAAATTGATTTGGCGCTTCCTTAAAAAGCTAGAAATAGAAGTACCATGCGATCCAGCAGTTCTGCTCCTTGGAATATATCCTAGAGAAATAACCGTCATACAAATAGGTATATGCACACCCATGTTCATTGCAGCACTGTTCACGATAGCAAAAAGATGGAAACAACTTAGATGCCCATCAACAGACGAATGGATAAACAAATTATGGTATATTCACACAATGGCATACTACGCAACAATAAAGAACAGTGATGAATCCGTGAAACATCTCATAACATGGAAGAATCTGGAAGGTATTATGCTAAGTGAACTTAGTCACAAAAGGATAAATGTTGTGTAAGAACGCAAGAAAAGGTTTAAACACAGAAGAAAACATTCTTTTGATGGTAACTAGATAGTAGACAAGAATTATCTTAGGTGAAGGGAAGGACAGCACACACTACAGGGGAAATCAGCACAACTGGACTAAGCCAAAGCTAAGAAGGCTTCTGAATACAGCCAAACACTTCGAGGGACAGTGTAGCAGGGGCGGGGGTCTGGGGACCATGGTTTCAGGGGAAGTCTAGGTCAGTTGGCATAACAAAGTTTTTTTTTAAATTTTTTTTCCCATACAAAAATTTATACATACACTGTTATGTGACTGTAATTGCTTTCCCGATACTGTGACAGCACACTCCTCCTTTCCACCCCATGTCGATTCAACCAGCTCCTAAACCTGTCTGTCTTCCCATCTCACCTCCAGACAGAAGCTGCCCATTTAGTCTCTTGTATCTACTTGAACTAAGAGGCACACTCCTCACGATGATCACTTTATGTCTCACAGTCCAGTCCAATCCTTGTCTGAAGAGTAGGCTTCGGAAATTGTTTTAGTTCTGAGCTGATAGAGAATCCAGGGGCCATGCTTTCCGGGTTACCTCAAGTTTCAATCAGACCATTAAGTCTACTCTTCTCACTAGAATTTGAGTTTTGCACCCCACCTTTCTCCTGCTCCATCTGGGAGTCTCTGTTGTGTTCCCTGTCAGGGCAGTCATTGGTGGTAGCTGGGCACCATCTAGTTCTTCTGGTCTCAGGCTGATGAAGTCTCTGGTTTATGTGGGGCATAACAAAGTTTTTTAAGAAAATGTTCTGCATTCCACTTTGGTGAGTGGCATCTGGGGTCTTAAAAGCTAGTGAGCAGCCATCTAAGATGCATCAATTGGTCCCAACCCACCTGGAATAAAGGAGAATGAAGAATACCATGGACACAAAGAAAAGTATTAGCCCAAGAGACAGAAAGGGCCACATAAATGAGACTTCATCAGCCTGAGACCAGAAGAACTAGATGGTGCCCGGCTACTACCAGTGACTGCCCTAACAGGGAACACAACAGAGAGTCCCGGATAGAGCAGGAGAAAAATGCATGCAGAACGCAAATTCTTGTAAAAAGACCAGACTTAATGGTTTGGTTGAGACTGGAGGGACCCTGGAAGACGTGGCCCCCGGACTCTCTGTTAGCCCGAAACTAAAACCATTCCCGAGGCCAGCTCTTCAGACAAAGATTAGACTGAACTATGGGACATAAAATGATACTCGTGAAGAGTGTGGTTCTTAGCTCAAGTAGATACATGAGACTAAATGGGTGGCTCCTGTCCAGAGGCAAGATGAGAAGGCAGAGAATGTCAGGAGCTGGTTAAATGGACACAGGAATTCCGGGCTGGAAAGAAAGAGTGTGCTGTCATAGTATAGGGAGAGCAAGTAGGGTCACAAAACAGTGTATGTATAAATTTTTGTATGAGAGACTAACTTGAATTGTAAACTTTCACTTAAAGCACAACAATTAAAAAAAATTCTTATTGCGATTTTGGAGAAAATTTGCATAGCAAATTAGGTTCTCATTCAACCATTTCTAAATATATTATTCAATAATATTGATAATACTTTTCACAATGTGTCAGCATTCTTATTATTTCCATTCTGATTGTTCTGTTTGCATTACTCTAGCTTTCTTGTCCTCCTTTACCTTCTCATCTTTGGTCTAGGGTAAATGTTGACCATTAGGTCTCATTTAGATGATTGTTTAGAGAAGCACAGTACTCACGGGTATTATTTTATGAGCCACTCTGTGTTTTGACTGACGGGTGACCTCCAGGAGTGGTTTGAGTTACAAGTTTAAAGGGTATCCCAGGGCAGTAGTCTCGGAGGTTCCTCTAGTCTCTACCAGTCCAGGAAATCTGGCTCTTTTTAGGAATTTGAGTTTTGTTCTACATTTTTTTCCCATTCTGTCCAGGACCATCTATGTGTCCCTGGTCGGAATGGTTGGTAATGTTAGCCAGGCACCATCTAGTTCTTCTGGTCTCAAGGTAGTTGAGGTTGTGGCTTGTGTAGACTGTTAGTCCTGTAGAGTAATTTCTAGTCTTTGGTTTCCTTCTTTCTCTTTTGCTCCAGACGTATAATGACCAATAGTTGTATCTCAGATGGCCGCTCGCAAGGTTTTAAGACCCCAGAAGTTACCACACTAGGATGTAGAACGTTACCTTTATGAGCTATGTTATGCTAATTGACCGAGTCACTGCCGATGTCAAACCCAGTAACCCAATCTTGTGAGGTGTTTGGTTATGTCTAGGAAGTATCCATAACTGTGCCCCGCAATGTGCTTAATTTTATATATACATATATATATACAGCACACACAAACACGTATATACATTTGCCTACAGAAAGATCTGTACATGTGCACTTTTATATTCATATGTGCTTACCTTCACATATATAAACATACACATTTATGTAGCCAGATACATATGTTTTGGTTGTAATTACTATTGTTGCAAAAATGTATGTGTTGAGGCTTTTCCCAAAATCATCCCTTATTTTTGTGTACTTCTTAGTGTCATCTTTTACCCTGGTCAAGTTGTGCTGACTTCACCTTTATTCAGTATCGCCTTACCCATCACCAAAACTAACAAGTCCTTTCCTAATAACTCTGAAGTTTCTTCAGAGGTTGAACTCTCTCCAGAATCACAGAGTATTATAATTAAATTAGCTGTCTTATTTAAAGCTGAGAAAGCTGTGGAGCCCACAGGAGGGAAGTGATTTTCCCGGGGTCAAGTTGTAATGAGCTAACATCATAGATCTCCTAACTCCCAATTCAGTGCTCTTTTCACTATCCTAGTGGCTTTTGGAGTCCCGGTGGCACAAATGGTTAAGTGCTTGACTACTAGCTGAAAGAGTGGCAGTTCGAACCCATCCAGAGGCACCTTGGAAGACAGACCTGGCAATCTGCTTCCATAAAGATTATAGCCTAGAAACCCTGTGGGGCAGTTCTACTCATAGTGACTCGATGGCACAGAACAGCAACAACTAGCAATTTGCCAATATCTAGTAAAATTGAAGATGTTTACGCTTTAAAAGAAGTCCCCAGATGGTGCAAACAGTGAACACGCTTGGCTGCTAACTGAAAAGTCAGCAGTTCAAGTCCACCTAGAGTGCCTCGGAAGAAAGGCCTGGCAGTCTGCTTCTGAAACATTAAAAACCCTGTGGAGGATAGTTCTATTCTGACACACTTGAGGTCACCATGAGTTGAAATTGACTTGATAGCAGTCAACTAAAACCTAGCATTTCTAAGTATATAGTTTCAGCATACTCTCACGTATATCCATAAGAATACACGACAAACACATGACATTGCAAAATTGTAGGAGTGAAAAGTTAGGGGAAAAAACTATTATTCATTAGCAGGAGAATGGATGTCTGGTACCATATAGTGGCGTACTATTATAGCAGTCAAGGTGAATGAATTACAGCTACATGTATTTACGTAGATGAGTCTCAAAAATGTTAAACGAAGAAAGAAATTGAAGAATACATATAATATGGTGCCACTTATACAAAGATTAAACGTGTACAAAAAATGCTACGCAGTTTACCTGCATATGTATAATAGGTAATGTTAACCCAACTATAAGGTAAGAGGGAAGGATTGGGAGGGAGTAGGGGGCTTCTACTGTATCTGTATATATCTGAAAGAGATAAGAGCAAAATTTTAGATTTAAACAAGCTGGATGATGGGTACAGAAATTTTCCATACCTTTTCATATTCTTGAAATATTTCATTAAAAGCAAAAATTGTGCCGAGTCCAGTACTCTATTTTAGGGATTTTTTTTTTTTTTCTAGGATTAATAAGGATGACCAACCCTGCCACTGTTATGATACCCCAGGGTGGAAACGTGTCGTCTTCCATGATGGCACCAGTCCCCAATCCAGAATTGCAGCCCAGGACTCCTCGCCCTGCTTCTCAATCAGGTAATGCCTTCCAATCTTTGAGGATTGAAGGGGCTGAAATTCCCTGCAGGGGTCATTACAAAATTCAGCTGTCTCTGATGCCAAATTCCTAACTGCCCTACTCATATGTCACTTTCTTTACAAAATCTGCCCTGATTCTATCATCATTTCCTTCTCAGAATTTCTCATTATACTCTTATCATTTCTACCCCCAACATTCCCAAAAGAGTATACCTTGACATATTTATCCTGCAAAATACTCCACGACAGAGAATTCTTTAGTCAAGTAAGTTTAGGAAGCGCAGCACACTTGACTCTCCCTCCTGGAGATTCAAGATTAACATATTGGAAGTTAACATATTGGAAAGTCCTCCAGTGAAGAAACCTGTTTAAGGTTGTTAGGTCCAGTGTTTCCCAAATATAGTTGGCTGTGTTTTTTGTTTTGTTTTTCTTGAGACACTAATTAACATAGTTCCCCAGAATGTGCCTTGGAAAATACTGTTCTCTACATTTTATGTTTGGCTCTTATATCCACTGTTGAACCATAAGCTCTTACTAGCCAAGATTCATCTTTCTGTCATCTTGGCACATTGCTTTGCACGTAGGAGGTACTTATGTTTTGTTGAGTGGTACCAGCAGGCTTTGGGAGCCTAGGGTTGCTATGAGTCCGAATCGACTCTATGGCAGTGGGTTTTTTTGTTGTTGTGTATTTGGGCAGAGCAACAGTTAAGTGCTCGGCTGCTAACTGAAAGGTTGGCGGTTCAAACCCACCCAGCAGCTCCATGGGAGAAAGACCTAGCAATCTGCTCCCATAAAGATTACAGCCTAGAAAACCCTATGGGGACAGTTCATTCTGCCACCTGGGGTTGCTGTGAGTCAGAATCAACTCAACAGCATTTAGCAACAATAACAACAGCTAGTAGGTTTTACTGTATATTTGCAGAATTGCCAAGACCATTGCACTAGGATCTAGGTTGCAATAGGTTGATTATTGCTTTGTTGACTGTCTTTATAATACAGATTCAATGGATCCACTCCTCTCTGGGCTCCATGTACAGCAGCAAAGTCATCCCTCAGGATCTTTAGCTCCTCCACAACACCCAATGCAGTCTGTTCCTGTGAACAGACAAATGAACCCTGCTAATTTTCCTCAGCTGCAGCAGCAGCAACAGCAGCAGCAACAGCAACAGCAACAGTTGCAAGCAAGACCCCCACAGCAACATCAGCAGCAGCAGCCACAGGGAATTCGACCCCAATTTACTGCCCCAACTCAGGTGCCTGTTCCTCCAGGCTGGAACCAGCTGCCTTCTGGAGCCCTTCAGCCTCCTCCAGCCCAGGGTTCTCTGGGCACAATGACTGCAAACCAAGGATGGAAGAAGGCTCCTCTGCCTGGCCCAATGCAACAGCAGCTCCAGGCAAGACCATCCTTAGCCACAGTACAGACACCGTCCCACCCTCCCCCTCCATATCCCTTTGGCAGCCAGCAAGCCTCACAAGCGCATACAAACTTTCCTCAGATGAGCAACCCAGGCCAGTTCACAGCTCCTCAGATGAAGAGCTTGCAGGGAGGGCCCTCCAGGGTCCCGACCCCGCTGCAGCAGCCCCACCTCACCAACAAGTCTCCTGCCTCCTCACCCTCCTCCTTCCAGCAGGGATCTCCTGCATCCTCCCCAACGGTTAACCAAACTCAGCAGCAGATGGGACCAAGGCCACCTCAAAATAACACACTTCCCCAGGGATTTCAGCAGCCCGTCAGCTCTCCAGGTCGGAATCCTGTGGTTCAACAGGGAAATGTGCCACCTAACTTCATGGTGATGCAGCAGCAACCACCAAACCAGGGGCCACAGAGTTTACATCCAGGCCTAGGAGGTGAGGAACACTGAAGCTATTTGTGTTAGTAAATTTGCTGGAGATAGATCTTAGTAGAACTTACAGCTTTAGAGTTAATGGAGGGGAATAAAATAAAGATATAATCATTTGGTTTTGTGGATATGCTGGTGACACTTGATATAACTTAGTTAACTTGATACATTATGTAACATGTTACTGGTAAAATTTAAGCTAGCCCTCTGGATAAAAAGGTAGATGAAATGTAATATAGAGATGTCTTTTTTGTTTTTCAAATTATTTTTGCTTGACCTTGACTAGTAAATTTAAATGTCTGTTTATAAGAAACATGCATTTTATTTATTAACAACTTAAACTGCTCAGCTGTTGAAAAAATTAAGATTATGCAGTAGAGCAAAAATGAAAAGATAGGTATGGGGTTCTTATTGGGAAAAAGACCTTCTAATTATCTATTTTGATTATCCTAACTAGTAAAATAGTAAGCATGGTATTTGTTAAATTTGGTTAAAGTATTAAAGGGGAATAAGTTCAGAAATCATTGACTTTTATAGTTTTATAATGCCAATGCCTGCTCCTTAGAGAGGGAATTCCACCAGTTATACCTAAAGGAGATTTATTTATTTATTTTGTAAGGTGCCTCTTGTATGAAGAAAAAGCAATGGAGCTTAATGTGTGAGAGGTAAAACGATTACAGTAAAACTTATCCATCTCCATGTTTATTATTTATTCTTATTAATCATTGACCTAGTGCACATGAATGTGCTTGGAGCTTTTCAGTAGAGAATATAGAGTGTCAAGTAATAGTGTCATTTGATAAACATAACCCCACCAAAAGACACTCATTGCCTACCCAGAAAAAACCCTTGCATCTTTAGTGCAACATAGCAAAGGCATGTTCCCATGGTTTCTGGTGAAATTAAGTTGCTGATCAGTCTTTCACTCTGTTGTAATTAATTTTGCTGACATGCAGGCGCTAATATTTGAATTCTAAGAAGTTTTTAGAAAAAGCAAGTATGTTTCAGCTCCAAACTTCACTGCTCTGGGCATTTCTCCTGGATCAGTGGAAGCTGGGTAGTCCCTCCTGAAAATGTGATTACTGACTTAATTACAGTGGAAGCATGCAAATGGGGACTTGTCACTGCTAAAGAAAGACAAATGCATATTTGTCTATAATAAGTGTTTTTCAGGGCATTGAAAATTTAGCCCTAAAAAATAATAAATGGACTAATACAAGAAAAGTTTTAAGTGAGCTTTAGGTCTTGATGCTTTCATAGAGCAGATGATGTGCTCACCTAGGTGATCTGGCCACATCAAGGCCTTTGTTATAAACAGTGAGTGGGTCTGAGATTCTCCTTATTACAAATTTGTTTTCTGAAATTAGGCCTTCCTATAAAAGGAAATAATACTTTAGTAAGATTTCATTAGAGCATGGTTTTTGGTACCATAGCTGTCAGAATTGCAGTAAACCTTATGAGGGCAAGGCATAATGATAAATTTAATATAGCCTCACCTTAAAGCTCCTGTGAACTGTTTCTAATCTGTCTATTCCAAAGAGACAAGCACAATATTGGGGGGGAAGTTTTCTGCAGAGGAGATTGTCATCCATTTCCCTCGAAGGAAAACAAATCACGTATCTGTCCTTAATAACAGGACCCAGCTCTTTGTTTATGTCTGAATATGAGACAATTTAGTATATTCCTTTGGTGCCTGTGTTAAAGTATGTAAAGTTTTGGGGTCCGTTGTATTACAGAGAAAAGTGAGCCCTCAAACCTTGCTGTGGCGTGGCCTCAGATCACATTTAGGGAGCAGATTGCCATCTTTTCCTTGGCATGTTCTAAGTGGAAATTTTTAGTATTTTTCATTTTGACAATGCTCATGTAAGAAATTGTGTTGATTTTTTTAACCATCTTTCTCAACCTTATTATTAGAGATCCTACCAGTGTGACAGAGATCTAAGCCAGTGGAGACTTCATGCAGCTCATCCTTCCTTATTCATTTCACATCTAAGCAAGAGTATAAATTTGCTAGGTAACTTCCGTACTCATTGTTTTCTATTAAGGAATGCCTAAACGCCTCCCACCTGGCTTCTCAGCAGGACAGGCCAATCCAAACTTTATGCAAGGTCAGGTGCCTTCGACCACAGCAACCACCCCTGGGAATTCAGGAGCTCCTCAGCTGCAAGCAAATCAAAATGTCCAGCATGCAGGTTTGTCTTCTGCCATTTATTCAACCAGCATTTATTAAGCATGGTGTGGTAGATACTCTGATAGGTGGTAGGGGTATGTACAGATTCAAGTCCTGTCTCCCCCCCTCCCCCGCCCCATCCTTAATTTCAAACCTGTAAATAATTATTCTTTCCGGGCAATAACTGATATATTCAAAGTAGGTAAAATGTCTCAGGAACCTGGAAACAGCTAAGAAAAGGAGTTGAAACTTGACTTAAAACAGTACAGCAGATTTTTCTGTAAGGGACCAGACAGTAAATATTTTAGTCTTTACAGGTTACGCAGTCTCTTGCAACTACTCAGTTCTGCTGTTGTAGTACAAAAGCAGCCATACACAATTCGTAAACGAATGAGTATGGCAGTGTCCCAAACACTTTTTATTTGTAAAAAGGCAGTGGGCTAAATTTGACCCACAAGCCATTGTTTGCTAAACCCTGAGTTAGAGCTTACTCAGGCAGTAGGTGAAAATACTTCTCTGGCATAGGAAACTAAAGGTACAAAGGCATGGAGGCACATGGCATGTTAGGGCAAATGCAACTTTTAAAATCTATATGTAGTACATGTTAGCTTTGTTCATATTGAATGTCATGCCAACGGTGTACTGTAAACAAGAAGAAATTTTGGAGGGAGGATAGGATGGAGCTAAAAAGTATTAATAAAAAAAAAAAAAAAAAAAGGCTAAAAAGTGTTAGTAAAGCAGTAACCTGTAAGCCCAGACTTTATGTTTCTGGTTTCTTAGGTCCCACATGACTAGTCCTCTTACTCTTTCTCATTCAAACAGTTTGGACTGAATTAGCACAAACATTTTCTGAACTCCGTCCCTACTGTATGGAGTTAATTTTGTTATGTGGTTTTAACTTTAATTGTATATCACTAAGGAATGAGAAAAGCCTTGACTTAGTAAGAAAAAAATTTCAAATTATCTCTTGAACGATATAGTTCAAGGGAAAGATAGGGTAAGCTGCTTGACTTTCCCTGTCTGCAAATGCAAAAACTACTTTCCTGAGTTATATGAATTCATGTTTTTTATAGGAGATTTTAAAATAGTGATAAAATCATTCATAATTCTTCCACCCTAGCACAGGGACTGCCACAGAGGAGGGTCACTGAAGTTTTAACATCCTTTCTTAACCGTCCTCTGTCTGCAAGCTTCCAGATGGGTTGTCTATCAGTCGACTCCCACCAGAGGTGCAGCTTCCAGATCAAAACTGAATAATTTTTACCACATCCGTGGCAGAGGTGATCTGTCCTTAGGAAGTATTAGGTGTTCCTTTCTTTAAAGTGCAGCATTCAGATATCTTACACATAGCCTTTGAGAGTCATTAGTTTTCCCAAGAAATGTTTTTAAACGTCTTCTCAGCATTGTCGATGTTTTCCTAAGAGGACACATCACGTTCTTTGTTTCCTTGGCCTACCTGAAGCAGAGCTTAATTCACTAGCCTATCCAAAAAAAACCAAACCCACCGCCGTCAAGTCGATTCCGACTCAGCAACTCTATAGGATAGAGTAGAACTGCCCGATAGGGTTTCCGAGGCTGTACATCTCAAGGCTGTACATCTTTATGGAAGCTGACAGCCACATGTTTCTCCTGCGGAGCGTCTGGTGGGTTCAAACTGCCAACCTTTTGATTAGCAGCCAAATGCTTTAACCACTGCACCACCAGGACTTCTTTTCACTAGCTTATAGTGCTTTTAATTAATCTTCTTTATCTTGAGGTAGCCACAAGTCATTTTAAAACAGTAAGATGCTTCCTTTCTCTCTTTTTTAATCTGAAAGACAGTAAACTTTATTGATTTGTGAAAATGTTATCTTTAATTTACTAAATAGGAGTAAAGAAACTGTTTCCCCTTCTCTATTGTGTGGTCATGAGAGAAGGTGAACGATTAGGCAATAGTCACGTCTCCACAGTTAAGGAATCCATGGAAAGTATGTCAAACACAGCACATTTGTTTGTGTTGGTCAGTGGAGATATGAGTGTTGGGTATCTTTCTGATTAAGGTAATTTGAATATCTTAATATCTGAAACTGCTTTTTTTTTTTTAAGGTGGTCAAGGGTCTGGTCCGCCTCAAAACCAGATGCAGGTGTCCCACGGACCACCAAGTATGATGCAGCCCAGCCTCATGGGAATTCATGGCAACATGAACAACCAGCAGGCTGGTAGTTCTGGGGTTCCACAGGTGAACATGGGCAACATCCAAGGCCAGCCCCAGCAGGGCCCACCATCTCAGCTGATGGGCATGCACCAGCAGATTGTGCCCTCCCAGGGCCAGATGGTCCAGCAACAAGGAACTTTGAACCCTCAGAATCCCATGATCCTTTCGAGGGCCCAGCTTATGCCACAAGGCCAGATGATTGTGAACCCTCAGAGCCAAAATCTTGGGCCCTCGCCCCAGAGGATGACCCCACCCAAGCAGATGCTTCCCCAGCAGGGCCCACAAATGATGGCGCCACATAACCAGATGATGGGGCCTCAGGGGCAAGTTTTGCTCCAACAGAACCCAATGATAGAGCAGATCATGACCAATCAGATGCAGGGGAATAAGCAGCAGTTTAACTCTCAGAACCAATCTACTGTCATGCCGGGACCAGCACAGATAATGAGGGGACCAACTCCGAACATGCAAGGAAACATGGTGCAGTTTACGGGACAGATGTCAGGACAGATGCTTCCCCAGCAAGGGCCCGTGAACAACAGTCCATCTCAGGTTATGGGGATTCAGGGGCAGGTCCTGCGGCCACCAGGGCCCAGCCCACACATGGCCCAACAGCATGGTGATCCTGCTACCACAGCAAATAATGACGTCAGCTTGTCTCAGATGATGCCTGATGTTAGCATGCAACAAACCAACATGGTTCCCCCGCATGTGCAGGCCATGCAGGGAAACAGTGCCTCGGGAAACCACTTTTCAGGCCATGGGATGCCTTTCAATGCTCCTTTCAGTGGAACACCGAATGGAAATCAGATGCCCTGTGGTCAGAATCCAGGCTTCCCTGTCAATAAGGATGTCACACTAACAAGCCCATTGTTGGTCAACTTACTGCAAAGTGACATCTCTGCAGGTCATTTTGGGGTAAATAATAAGCAGAATAATACCAACGCAAATAAACCGAAGAAGAAGAAACCCCCTCGGAAGAAGAAAAATAGTCAGCAAGATCTGAAGTAGGTTGTGATGTTCATTTGTTTCTATGTGAACAACTTTTTGATGGTAAATTTTAAACATGTAAAAAATTAGAATAGTGTAATGAAATCCCCTTGCTTCAACAGTTATTAATTCATAGCCTATCTTGCCTTCATCTATACTCTCCCCGACTACCATTTTGATTGTTTTAAAGCAAATTCACTTTGTAAATACGTGTGCAATTAGCATACCTAGAAAAACTAATATAGTAAACCTATGAGAGCCAGGACTCAATGGGACTGCCTTGTTTTTCTGGGTCTTGCAGGTTTTCCACCTTTGACTCAGGGTGCAGTCTTACACTTTTCTGTCACTCTCTATTAGTGGAAAATATTTGAGTTTTCCTTCTCTGACAGGTTTCTGCCTTCCATAGGTTCCAGCTTTCGCAGGTTTTACTGTACTACTTTACTATTCTCAAATATCCAGACAATATTCAAATTTCCTTGATTGTTTTAAATTATATTTTTTTCAGTTTGCTCAAATAAGGATTCAAACAAAGTTCATACATTGCAGTTGACTAATACGTCTCTTAAGTCTGCAGTTTCAGAGGGGGTATGGCACCCATTGCTGAAAATAGCCAGTGTGACTACCCTGCAACTCCACCAGGCACTCGGCTTTAGGCTTATAATTAATGGTTGTTGGGGAAGCAGAGAGGCCGAGTGTGTTTTGGAAATGAAAGTTGCTTAAGGTGACTCTGTTCTGTCCTTCAAATAGAAGTTTTTTTTTTTTTTTTTTTTTGCTGGGATGTCTTTCCTTTAAAGGCTTTTTATTATCCCTACGGGAGAAAGATATGGCAGTCTGCTTCTATAAGGATTTACAGCCTTGGAAACCTATGAGGCAGTTCTACTCTGTCCTGTAAGGTGGCTATGAATTGACTTGATGGCAGTGGGTTTGGGTTTTATAATCCCTAGAAGCTTAAAACCCTACTCTAAGATGATTGAACCTTTTAAATCAGTTACTCTTTCAGTAAAGGTTCTCCAGGTGAGTTTTTTTTTGCAAGATCACAGCAGGAAGGGCAATTAACATTAATTTATATTTTATTTCCTGAAGCTAAGTATTAATTTAAATCATGTTTTTGTCTTCGATAAAATGTTTCCAGAAGGAACATTGATTTAGGTGGATTTTCTGCCTTTAATCATAAAACCAAAATTCATAGACATTTATTAACAGGGAATAGTGACTAATGTTATAAAACAGGTTAATTGAAATAAATTGCTACAGCTATAGAAAAGAATAGAGGAGCTTTATTTAAACTAGCTTAAATGTTCAAATAAAAACAACTATTTTTCTCCCAGCCTTCCCACATTTCTTTGGTTGCACTCTGATATACTCACTTGCTGCTGCTTGAATCTTATCCATTAAAAACCAACAGTTGTGTATTAACAACCTATGTTTTCCTAAATTCAGATTTAATAAGCCCATTAATTATCTAGTTTTTCTGATGACTATTCTTCAGTTAAATCCTTTATTTCTATCAACCTGTGGGAATAACATTTTTGTTGGAATAACTATTTTATTCCTTCCAGTAGTCTGGGAGTAAAATTGCAAAGTTATTTAGTTGCCATTAGTATGCATTTTTGCTGTCTTCACCAGCCCTGAGGGAGATTGCTTGTTGGGTCTACAAACTGTGAAAAGGGCCATATATAGCATCTGGGCTCCTAAGAAAGGGAGACATTAGGTTTAATAGGAAGAGCATCTTTTCCCAGCTCTACCACTAGCTCATTGTGGCACCTTGGGCCCATCTCTTATACCTCTCCTGGCCTTTGTTTTCTCATCAATAACATGAGAGGGCTGGACCAGATATCTGAGATTTTTTAGTTGTTCAGTTCTTTGAAAGTAAAGGATGCCATAGAACGCTTGCCTGTAACTTGACAGGAGAGAGAAGTCATATAAGGAGCAAACTGGTATAGGAATCTGGATGTGCTAAGGACCTGCTTCAGGTTCTAAACTTTTGTGTGCTGGGGCCTGGGGACTTCTAAAATGAATTTCAGGTGGCTTATAAAACTACACAGAATACAGTGATAAAGTAGTATCTAAAAGTAGGTGGAAACCCTGGTGGCATAGTGATTAAGTGCAGCGGCTGCTAACCAAAAGCTTGGCAGTTTGAATCCAACAGGTGCTCCTTGGAAACTCTATGGGTCAGTTCTACTCTGTCCTATAGGATCGCTGTGAGTCGGAATCGACTCAATGGCAACAGGTTTGTTTGTTTTTTAAGTAGGTGACCAAGATCAGGGTAAAGAGAAACTATAAAGGGTAGGAAAGAAATGTGCAGCTGGGAGTGAGATTACATACAAAATATGGGATGTGAGGCCTCTCTAATTCTTCAGGAATGTGGATATTAATAGATACATTTTCTTCATTGAGCATGAATTCTTCCCTCCATGCCCCCTTACACACTAAAGATTCTAAGCTACACCCAGGTCAAAATGAAGGCATCCCAAAGCCAATGGGGATATGTGCAAATATTCATTGTGCAACCAAATTAATTATCATTATTTGTTCACCATCCTTCCTTGTTCTCTGAATAACGTTGTCATTAGCCAACCTACAGCCTCTTGCCACCATTACAATATCCAGAAAAAGAAACAATCTAGGCTCTGGTTGAATCTCATAGCTACATTTACAGATAGTGTGGTTTCACAGGAACAGTACTTTATTATGTTGATAGCCCCAAATTTGAGATCAGGTCTTAAAACATCTAAGGGGTGGATGATTACATGAAAACATTGTATCAGGAATTTGTATAAATAACCATGCTATTAGATTGAGTGGATTTTAACATTTAATAATATTGCTAGATAATTTTTATGGCAAATATTGAATATTCAGACTGGAGAGATGTTAATAGTGGGAAAGATGATAGTGCAAACAGATTTTAGTTCTTCAGAAATGAGGGAGGGGTTAAACTAGTTTTGTGTGTATACTATTCAACTTACTCTCAAATGTGTTACTGGTTTTTTAGCACCCCAGATGCTCGCCCGGCTGGTTTGGAGGACTCTGATCAACAGTCATTGCCTGGAGAACAAGGAATTAACTTGGACAACTCAGGCCCTAAACTGCCAGAATTTTCAAACCGGCCGCCAGGTGATAAAACGTTAGCTAAAGATTATATACTTGTCATCATTTACATAGCATTACAAAGCTTCCTTCTCTTCAAGGAAATAATTTTATTTTATTTTGTTTGCTAACTAGGCTGCTTTAGCAATTTAATGTATGTAATACTTTGGAAGCTTTGGTTTGATATTAAGCAAATTATTCAAATATAACTTCTGAAGGTATTTGTGTGTGTGTGTGTGTGTGTGTGTATTCTGCTCAAATTATCCCCAGTTATTTTAAGTCCCCGTACAATTAGACTGAAATATGAAGTGCCTCTTTATTCTTGTCAATATCAAGGCTCTAGTTGGCAACAAAATGGATTAAGATTAAATGGAGAGATGTTTTTCACTCTAATCTTGCTTGCCTGCCTTTCCTGCATCCTTTCCTACTGGAGTTTTCACAGAGCAGGGAACTATCAGGGTTTAAAACAAGATAATCTTTGTTTATTGAAATTTTATTATGAATCTTTAAAACACAAAAAATATATAAAGAATAATACAATAGACATCCATGTACCTACACCCCAGCTTAATGATAAATAAATAATACCAATATTGTTGAAGGGAGCCCTGGTGGCACAGTGGTTAAGCACTCGGCTGCTAACCGAAATGTATGTGGTTCAAATCCACCAGCCCCTCCGTGACAGAAAGCTGTGGTAATCTGCTTCCATAAAGATTACAGCCTTGGAAACCCTATGGGGCAGTTCTACTCTGTCCTATAGAGTTGCTGTGAGTCAGAGTCAACTCGACAGCAATGGGTTTAATATTGTTGAGGCCTCCTATGTTGTGCCCCTCTCTGATTATAAAATATTATCCTCTAAATGTTTAAAAATTAGTGTTAAAACGTAAAAAGTGCCTAAACTTCATTCCAATCTAGATATTATAGAACCAAGACCAGCTGCCACAGTATCTCTATACCTTGTTACTCTTGGCCTGAGCAATGATTTGTAACATTATTTCCTCTATGACAGAGTGAAAGACATACAAGTCCTTCTTACTTAGGCCACTTTTCCTGTGTATACAAAGGATTATGTTTTGCTTCTTCCTCACTAATTATTCTACTTCCTTTTTGACATATAAGAATGATATTATTTTAGGGATAAACTTTAATCCACCTTTAATTTATATATTTTAAAAGTGAATCATCATGATGTCAATACTTCATGTTATTTCTTACGAATTACTTAGGTACAACCACATTTCCCATGAGTGAGTTGCAGCAGCACAATTGAGGCTGGGAGGTCACCAGTCTTTAGCGGGTATGTCCAAAAGGTATTATGAGCAGGAAGGTACCTTTTTCCCTCAGACACATCTGAACTCTTTTTGTTGTTTAAATCCCAGGGGTCCTCACAAACATTAAAAGACCTTTATTTATGTGTCCTTTCTGCAGATTTCAACCTGGGGACCAGCAGGCTGAATTCAGCCTATGATGTGTTTGAATTGTTATGCTATCTTAAACAAAAGTCTGAATGTAAATGCCTTTAGACAGGGCATCTGCTTTGCCAGTTTGGCACTGTCAACAGGATTCCAGCTGTCTTATACCAGCCCACTCACTCTTTACTACCTGCCTGGCCCATAAAGGCATATGCGTTTGCATCCCTTCAGTAATAAATTTGGTTTTGACTGTGTTATGGGCACCGTGTGTGTCCTGGCTTTCCTTCTGCTCCATTCTGTCATGTCAACCCCAATCGGTCTTTCTTATTGTTAGTACCCTTTGGACTGCTGCGTCCAGCTTCTGGACACTTTATAGCAGCCATGCCCTTAACTGTTATTTTCAAGAGGCTGCTGTATTGTCTGTGCTGTTCTCTTTGGTATTTACTGTGCTATCTGGTGGACTGATTTTAAAGACTAAAGGATCTGTGCCATAGCCCTGACATCAAGGGGCTTTTGCAGAAATGACAATTTTCTTAAAGTGGGAACCCCAGACTAGATGCGGAAAATAAAAACCCACTGTGGCTATGTAGCTAAAAGGACAGTTAAACCTGTAGAAATTACTTGGGCCTAAAATAGAAAGGGATTTAAAAATAAAATTAAAAACTTTCAAAACTGGATTCTGTATATTTTACTCACTGGTGCCATGGAAATCTTTGGCCAGAAGATATTAACTAGCTGTTAAACAAATGATCCTGTGGGTCAGAGCAGCATTGGGTAACTGCTCTGTGAAAATCTTGAGCCAGCATTTCTTTAGACTGCCAGAACAACTGTTCTTACTCCTTTGCCTCCTTAAAACCTTCCCAATGTATTTTTCATGCAACGAGTTTGTGAAATTGTATCCCAGCCATATGCCCACTTTTTCCCGCTTAACCACCTTTATTCTTGGTTTAATTTGATGATCTTTTTATCCTTCCTGCTGATTGTATAAGGTTTTGCTTCTAAAATGCCAAGTAAAACCTTCACACAAGAGACTCATTGGAGATCTTGCCTTCTGCAAATCTGTAAGGCATTGTCCATCAGAGCTCTTTTCCCAGAAACTGTTTTTCATTCCTGAGGGCTATGCTTCTGGCTTCCTTACTCTCCAATTGTGGATTCATAGAAAGTATTTCTCTAAACAAAATTTTGCATGTCAGAGAGTAAATGGAAATAGATATTTTTGATGTAATTGATATTGTGGATACTCATAAAAACTTCAGGGCCCTCTTCTTCTTTTCAATCTGTATATCAGCTTCTGATAGCACCTACTGTTTATTAAACTGATTTATGTCAGAGGGGTAGTTTAATTCATTTGGGTTCTCCCCAAGGATTGAGCCTGAAGGATGCAGCATAGTGTGTGGATCCATGGATTGGAGTAATTTTAAATCCCTTTCTTCAGAAAATGAATCCTAGAGTTTTATATTTTACTTCTGTTGAAAGAATAAAAAGGCTACCTTCAATGCTGGCATTTTCAACAAAACCAACTCTTAAAAAAATTAACCCTTTGCTAACAGAAAAAATGAATCCTGTATGCTTCACTTCATTCACAAGTACAGTGAAATATGTCTACATGAGACCACAGTGTTGGGTGGTCAGCTACTTGCTGTTGATGGAGTTTTTCTTGTTTCATCTGAATGTTTGGCTGGCGTAGACTTGGCCGCTTTCAACGCATAGCACAGAGCATCTATCAGTCTTAGTGCAGGATTGCCTCATTCATAGGCCCTGAAGACTGAGGAGCTCCAGGTTCTTGATGCTTTGCTTTTTTGCTTCCTTGAGCAGTGTGCCCCTTTGCTTATGTCGAATAAAAAGGGACTGTTCCCCACCCCTCCGGAAGGGGCATGCCTGAGCTGTTTGTGCACAGTCTGTGCAGCCTAGATGAGTATTGCTTGGCTATACTCTAAAGGTTGCAAAGCTTTTCATGCTAAAAATCTAACTTCCCTGATTTTGGGGGCTTGTTTTAGGTTATCCTTCTCAACCAGTTGAACAGAGGCCACTTCAACAGATGCCTCCTCAGCTCATGCAGCATGTGGCACCCCCACCACAGCAGCAGCCCCAGCCACAACTGCCTCAGCAGCAGCAGCAGCCACCACCTCCCAGTCAGCCACAATCTCAGCAGCAGCAACAGCAGCAGCAGCAACAAATGATGATGATGCTCATGATGCAGCAGGATCCCAAATCAGTTAGGCTTCCAGTCTCCCAAAATGTCCACCCCCCAAGAGGCCCCCTGAATCCAGACTCCCAGAGAATGCCCATGCAACAGAGTGGCAGCATGCCTGTCATGGTCAGTTTGCAAGGACCTGCCTCCGTGCCACCATCACCTGATAAACAAAGAATGCCAGCGCCTGTGAATACTCCTTTGGGAAGCAATTCAAGGAAAATGGTATACCAGGAGAACCCACAGAATCCTTCCAGCTCACCAATGGGAGAGGTGTCCTCACTTCCTGAAGCGAGTGGCAGTGAAGTACCATCTGCCTCGGGAGGCCCAAATAACATGCCTTCACATTTAGTAGTTTCCCAGAATCAGTTAATGATGGCAGGGCCAAAACCTGGACCATCACCCCTTTCAGCAACTCAAGGTGCAACTCCCCAGCAGCCTCCTGTAAATTCCCTGCCCAGCTCTCATGGCCACCACTTTCCAAATGTGTCTGCTCCAACCCAGACATCTAGACCTAAAACACCAAACAGAGCCAGCCCCAGACCCTATTACCCTCAGACGCCCAACAACCGCCCTCCCAGCACAGAACCTTCAGAAATCAATTTGTCACCAGAAAGACTCAATGCCTCCATAGCAGGACTCTTCCCCCCACAGATTAATATTCCTTTACCTCCTAGGCCAAATTTAAACAGGGGCTTTGATCAACAGGGCCTAAATCCAACAACTTTGAAGGCCATTGGGCAAGCACCTTCAAATCTTACCATGAATAATCCTTCTAATTTTGCTGCCCCACAAACTCACAAGTTAGATTCTGTGGTGGTGAATTCTGGAAAGCAGTCTAACTCTGGAGGAACAAAACGGGCAAGTCCAAGCAACAGTCGCAGGTCTAGTCCTGGGTCCAGTAGGAAAACCACCCCAAGTCCTGGGAGGCAAAATTCAAAAGCCCCTAAACTTACTTTGACCTCTCAAACAAATGCAGCCCTGTTGCAGAATGTGGAGTTGCCGAGGAATGTATTGGTCAGTCCCACTCCTTTGGCCAATCCCCCTGTACCCGGGAGCTTTCCTAACAACAGCGGGCTGAATCCTCAGAATCCCACCATGCCTGTGGCTGCAGTTGGGGGTGTTCTCGAGGATAACAAGGAGAGCTTGAATGTGCCTCAGGACAGCGATTGCCAGAATTCCCAGGGTAGGAAGGAACAGGTAAATATTGAGCTAAAAGCAGTCCCTACCCAAGAAGTTAAAATGGTTGTCCCTGAAGATCAGTCCAAAAAGGATGGGCAACCTTTGGATCCTAACAAACTTCCCAGTGTCGAAGAGAACAAAAATTTGGTGTCTCCTGCTATGAGGGAAGCACCAACATCATTAAGTCAACTTCTTGACAACTCTGGAGCTCCTAATATAACCATTAAACCCCCTGGGCTTACAGATCTGGAAGTAACACCTCCAGTAGTTTCTGGGGAGGACCTCAAAAAAGTATCTGTCATTCCCACACTGCAGGATCCGCCTTCTTCTAAAGAACCCTCTGGTTCACTAAATTTACCTCATAGTAATGAGCCGTGTTCAACCCAAGTGCATCCAGAATTGAGTGAGGTCAGTTCTAATGTTGCACCAAGCATCCCTTCAGTAATGTCAAGACCTGTCAGCAATTCTTCCATTTCCACTCCCTTGCCCCCAAACCAGATAACTGTTTTTGTAACTTCTAATCCCATCACAACTTCAGCTAACACATCAGCAGCTCTGCCAACTCACCTGCAGTCTGCATTAATGTCAACAGTCGTCACGATGCCCAATGTGGGTAGCAAGGTTATGGTTTCTGAGGGACAGTCAGCTGCTCAGTCTAATGCCCGGCCTCAGTTCATTACACCTGTCTTTATCAATTCATCCTCAATAATTCAGGTTATGAAAGGATCACAGCCAAGCACGATTCCTGCAGCCCCGCTGACAACCAACTCTGGTTTGATGTCTCCCTCCGTCGCAGTTGTTGGCCCTTTACACATACCTCAGAACATAAAGTTTTCTTCTGCTCCTGTACCACCTAATGCCCCCTCCAGTAGCCCTGCTTCTAACATACAGACAGGTCGACCCTTGGTCATTAACTCACGAGCCACCCCTGTTCAGCTTCCTTCTCCCCCTTGTACAACTTCCCCAGTTATCCCTGCTCATCTTCCTGTCCAGCACGTCAAAGAATTGAATCCAGATGAGGCTAGTCCTCAGGTGAGCACCTCAGCAGATCAGAGCACTCTGTCCTGTTCACAGTCAACCACAATGGTTTCTCCCCTTTTGACCAATAGTCCAGGCTCTTCTGGCAACCGGCGAAGCCCAGTCTCATCTAGTAAGGGCAAAGGAAAAGTGGACAAAATTGGCCAGATTTTACTGACCAAGGCGTGTAAGAAAGTCACAGGCTCTCTTGAGAAAGGGGAGGAGCAATACGGTGCAGATGGAGAGACTGAAGGCCAAGGGCTAGAGACCACAGCTCCAGGGCTCATGGGAACAGAGCAGTTATCCACAGAGCTGGACAGTAAAACCCCAATGCCCCCAGCACCCACTCTGCTAAAAATGACCTCTAGCCCTGTAGGCCCAGGCTCCACCTCAGCAGGACCCAGCTTACCTGGCGGTGCTCTCCCCACCGGTGTACGTTCAATAGTAACCACTCTGGTACCCTCTGAGCTCATCTCCACGGCGCCGACCACAAAAAACAATCATGGTGGCATGACATCTGAGCCACTTGCGGGTGGCCTGGTGGAGGAGAAGGTGGGATCTCATCCAGAGCTTCTACCCAGCATAGGTATGTACTCGGGACCTGACATCTTCTCCTCATGTCAGTTTGTTGATGACCTATACAAGAGAAAGCATGACTCGTTTTCTACTTTGAGGAAGAGGAATGGGCTAAATGATAGTAGTGGTAGTTTTATTTATTGGTAATGCGTTGGAAGACATACTTTCAAATCCCATGTTAAGTTTACATTCATTAACGTGGTTCTCTCAGCTCCTGAGATGATGATATACCTTTCATTTCTATTATAAAAGTTTTTCAGTTTACAAGGAAGCATTTTTACATACATTATCTTACATCTTCATACCAACCATGGCAAGTAGTCTTAACGCCATCCTATGGATGAGAAAATTGAAGTTCAGAGAAGTTCATAATTTTTTTCAAAGTCTATACTGTGAACCTCCAGTATGACACACTCCTTTAAATATGAATAGCAGCCTCTGCAGGTTCTCCTTACCATAATGACGACTTATTCTCTACTCTCTGTGTGCTATCCTCGGGACCCTTCTCTTTGTGTCTGGGCTACCTCAGCAGAGAGCTTCCCAGAAAGCCAGATTTCATAATAGACACAGGAGGAGCAGAGTGGTTAAGAGTCACATAGGCTTGGTTTGGTATGACAACACCAACATTTACCAGCTGTATGGGCTTGGGCAGGTTACTTGGCCACTCCAAACTTCAGTTCCTCTTTTGTAATATGGGGACAATAGTAGTTGTAAGAATTCAATCAAGGAGTGCGTATAACATGCTTAGCCCAGTGCCTAGAACATAGTAATTGTTCGATAAATAGTAAAAAAATATTACTAGTTACTTTTTGATGCAGTCTCTTTGTAAATTGATCCTTTCTGTTCATGTATATCTAGTTCAGGTTATTTCCTGTGTACGATGAAAGTGGGCTAATGATGGGAGCATAGGGTGTCGTTACACACACCCCTTCCCTCCCATACACATGTTCCTCCTATGAAGCCTAAGTGGTGCAGAAGTTCTGTTTCCCCCAGAGTGGAATCAGCCACACACTGCCAGAGCTGGAAAGGACCTTCCAATATCCTAAGCCAACTAGCAGTACCTGGCTTGTTTATGCAGCTGAAATGCTTCGAGTGCCTACCACTGAGTGCTAAGCACCCAGAAAGAGTAGAGAGAACACAAGCTTCAGGGTAAGGTCAGACTTCAAATTCTAGCCACAGTGGTTACCAATTGCAGTTGGATAAATTCCTTAACCTCTCTGTTTAGCTATAATTATTTCACCTGTAAAGTGGAGATTGTAATTCTTACCTCCTGGAATTTATACAAGGATTGAATGAGAGGACTTAGGTAAAGCAGCACACAGAGTTCCAGAAAGGTTAATTCCCCTTCTCTCTGCCTCCTCACCTCAGTGCTGGAGATATGAGGGCGGATAAAAGCCCTCAAGGAGTTCACTGACGGTGCAGGAGGCAGATACTTGATAGGCAGTTACAAGATAGTGTCTCTGATTGTAATTCTGTTGATGTAGGTGAACCCTAAGAATTAAAAAGAAACCCGGTGTGACTTAAATATATTCTCCACTATTAAATATTTCCATTTCTACTTTTCAGGGAACTTTTCCCTCAGGTAACAAGAGAATAATGATAAAGTGATTAGAAAATATTTTAATCTGGATCATATATAATACTAGAGAAATACGTGAGTCTTGAGCCGATGAAACCAGCAGTTGGAAAATTCTCATTTTTAGTTAAAGCTGCCCATTTTGCTTATACAGGCAGTCCCCGGGTTACGAACGAGATCTGTTCCTAAGTGTGTCTTTAAGTTGAACTTGTAGGTAAGTTGGAACAGGTGAATACAGTTCTTATTTAGCCTTATTTTAGTGCAAGATAAGGCTCGAAGCCTTTTCAGCGATTTAAAAGCTGCAGGTGCAGCAAGTGAAGGTGATTGTTATAAAGAATTTGTTGCGGAGTTGGGGTTGGTTCAGTCATTTCAAAATGAGGGCAAATTTACATAACATTAAAGGACAAGTACGAGTTGTCTGTAACTCCAACATTCATGTTTGTAACCTGGGGAATGACTGTAGTGAGTGTTTCTATTCTTTCTCAAGAGGCTTCCGTGCTTTTACCTTGAAAATGTGAGAATCCATTACTGAAGTTAAAAGTAGAAGCTAAGGTATAATTTTAAGCTATAAGCATCCAAAATAAATTTCTTAATACAAATGCATTATTGACTGCTTTACTAAGCAGAGAAATCTATAAAATTCAGTTTCTACAAGAGGGTAAAACTAGTTGTTGCAGAGTTTATTAGAGATAAGATTTATCTAGACTGAAGTGTCAAGATGGGAGGACATACTCTTGAGTGACTGTGGTATGTCTGCCATTTTCTTTATCTTTACTGTATAATCTGGGAAAGTTGAGTTCTGGAGTACGTTGTATATTCAGCTCCATTCCTCTTCAAAGGCCCGAGTTCTCTCTGTCCTTCAAAGCCCAGTTCTGATGCTTCTCCCATTAATGTACCCTCAGATTTCTCAATCTAAAATTGATTTCCCTTCCTTTGGACTCCTGTAGAATTTTATACTTTGTTTTTCCTTCATATGACTTCACAGTGCACGCCAGCGTACCACATGCGTATATCTTATCTTTAATGCTAGACTGAGTTCCTGACAGGCAAGGAGGACAAGGGTGCCTGGCGCAGTGCCTTGGCCCTAGTAAGTTCTTAGTAACTATTTGTTAGATAAGTAAATAACAACCTATCATACTGATTTATTAAGTATGAATTAAATAGCTGCTTTATGTCAATCATTCTTCCTAGGTGGTGTATAAAAGTACAAAATAAATTCATTCCTGCTCTCAAAGAGAGTGTAGTCTTAGAGAGATGAGACAGAATAAAAATTAAATGCTAAGGTGACTGGTGTAATCATTCCTCTGAAAGTGGTTTGGGCTGCCTGCTAAGGTGTTTTTGTGTTTTTTTTAAGAGCTTTGGGCAGAACTTGACACCAAAAAGCAAAAAATGTGGGTGCTGTTGTCTTCATGGCTACCTCCTTCCCTGGTATTTGTACATATTTAAAGGAAAAACAAATACCCCTAAGTGCTAGTTTTTGTTATTGTTATTCATTTTTTAAGTTGGTTTTGAAATATAATTTCAAGCCGGACTTCGAGTATTGCCCTTCATTTAAGAGAATGTGTGTTTCAGCAGTTACTTAGTCCTTGATTAAGTTAATGTTTTCTGTTTTGTTTAGAAAAGGAAGTAAAAGCCCTGTATTTTTTTCTTGCCTTAGCCTCTTCACAGAGTTTAACCCCAAAGGAAACTCCAGTCACGGCACTACAGGGGTCTGTTGCTAGACCAGGTAAAGACGCATTTGGAAAAACTTCTCGGAGCAGAATGGGTTGTGTGTGAGGAATTGCTGCTGTCCTCATGTCACATGTTCTCATGCCAACAAGTGTCTGGAACTGTCTTATCTCTTTGCTTCAGAGCCAACTTCAGTTGAGTGGCAGAGCTTATGCAATACTATTTGAGGTTGTTTTCCCCTGACCAGCTTACTCTCTTACGCATTCCTGGTGTCAGCCAGAGAACTCAAGAAGGGCATCTCAGTGCCCATTTCCTGTTTGTCACCCAGCATGGGCAGTTTCCATTGTGATTTTCCCTGTTCCATAGGTGCCCTGGCACCTATGGCTAGCAGCTAACTGGCTGGCATATGGTAACTCACTGGAGTGGAAGGCATTAATGCATTGAGATAGTAATTGCCATTATCGTGACAGGAGTGGAGTCTCGTTCAAAGAATCTCTGCTGCAGTGAGAAAGCCATTTCTCCAGGGAGTTAAGGTCATTTCAGTCATCTCTGGATGGCATTAAGTTTCTCCCCATGACAAGATATTGTAAATAGCCCTAGGGATGGTGTTTCTGGAAGGAGTCGTGGTACTCTGACAAATACTGCTATGGGATGCTAGGTCAGCTCTGAATGCAAGAGGATGTTGATGGCAATAATAGCACTGTTTCTGCCTTCGTAGATCAGACTGCCGATACAGATAAATATCATAGATATGATACAGCTTGGTCTTGCCTGGCTTTTTGTTGCTGTAGGTCATTGAGGTGTATGATTGCTTCCCACAAGTAGGTAAGAATCTCATTGGAAGCACAATTCATATGCTTAACAAAATTAGTGAGAAAAAACAACAGTGCAACCATGTTTAATTTTGCGATTCTAAGCCAATAAAAGTAAAGTATAACCTGTGATAATTTTACAGCCTGCTTCAGGATGCTATGTCCTATGTGATGAAGAAGACTTTATAGTGTACACTGTTTGGGTAAAACCAGGCTCTGAAAAGAATGTATCAGCAAAAAACACTTCAGCCACATAGTTTCTTTCTTTGCTAACCAGTTGCTCACATGATGCCTGGCATTGTGCTGGACATTTGAAAGGGGTGGGATAGATCAAATTATTCTGAGAAGTGGAATAGGTAATGAGAGTCATTTTTGGTGAGAAAATGACCTGCTAAAAAGGGGAAGAGAATTCCATTTCTTGTGCCACCTCTTTACTCCAGAAAATGAGCTTTACCATATCATATGTCTTCTTTTCAGAGTAATTGACCAAAGAATCTTGTTCTTTTTAAAAGATTGGCTTAAATAAATCTGAAATAACCACAAAGCCACTGGTTACTTTTGCCAAACCCCTTTGATCTTCACTTATGTGAACTAGCAGTGATAGTGTTAAAATTCTCAAAAGCATTGAATTTTGTCTTGTTTCCAAAGAGCAAGCTAATCCAGGTTATCACCTCTTCTGACCTGAGCCATATTCATGTTTGAGCACATATTCCCTGAGTTTGTATGTTCCATCCTATCCAGCAAGGTAGCAGAAACTCAATGGGTTGGGGCTCCCAGGCTGTATGGATTAGATAAAGGACACTAAATAGCAAATGAGAAGCAAGGATTCCCTTTTGCCAGCATCTTACATTGAAGGCAGGGTAGTCCAGTCTCCTCCTATGAAAGGCTGTATCAACATGATCATCATAGCAATAATAATAGTATTGGATGATTACTGAATATCAGGTACTGTACTAAAATTTTTATGTGCATTATTTTAGTAAATCTTTATTTTGAAGTGGGTAAAGAGGTAATCCCCATTTTTCAGATGAGACATTGAGCACAGAGAGATGAAGTAATTAGCCCCAGGTCACACGGCAATAATAATAGTAAGCAGTGGGGTCAGAATTTGAACCCAGGCACTGTGACTTTACTGCTTTCTACATGGGAGGTTACCATGTAGTTAGTAGGGTGGGTTAGACATGTACACAGCCTTAACACTGAGTATGAGGTACTGTGTGCCCTGAGAGGGAGGAAGGGTATAGGCAGTTGGAGACCAGAGGCAGGAGAGTTCAAGGGCCATCTGGTGCATCAGGGAGGGCCTTTTGTAGAAGGTAGAATTCTCTGAAGGCATGTAATGGAGGAAGAAGATGTTTTTCTCCTGGTCCTGAGAAAGAAGTATCTAGTAAACCCAGGGAGTGCTTATTTGTGTAAAACCCTGCTAGACAAATCATGAAGTTTTTCCTTTCTTGGAGAGCATTGCTAGGAGATTGAGGAAAAGAGGAACATAACAGGGTCTGTAGAGAAAACCTCAAAGCAAAGCAAGCAGTATTCCCTCTAGAACTCAGAGAGGTTGGAGGAGAGTTCATGCTTAATAGATGTTCAAGACATATTTGAAGATTATTGTCTTTAAAAAAAAAGAAGTGTCAAAGGGTGGAGATATTTTAAGAATGAAAACAGCCTTTCTACGTGAGAGGAAGAGGCTTATTTTACTAACCTAGTTGTAGCTGAGTGAAATATGATCCAGGTAGTGTGAGTTTAATTCTATTGATCCAAACAAGATTATTTCATGGTGTGGAGTAGAAATAAAAATAGACCAAGTGTCTCGTGCCCCAGACAAACCAAGCTGTGTCCATGCCAACTCTGTCTCTACCATGTAGGGTGAAAATCCTGAGTACTGAGACACTTCAGCCTAAATAGGGCATTCAGAATTCTTGTCGACACCTAGCTTCTCTCTGTGGACATGTACACTAGCAGCTTCCACATCTTATTTTTGTCCTTTGTATTTTTACAGAACTCGAGGCAAATGCAGCCATAGTCTCTGGGCAAAGGTAAGATGATGGTTTCTGCATACTCAGCCTGAATACGGTATAAGCCTCTTTGATGGGTATTGGCTTTCTGAGCCTTTAAACCACTCCTCACCTTGTCCTTTTCCTTCATGCTTTCACTAGTCTGTTTTTCCTGTTAAAGTAGGGAGGAATCATGAGTCCTAACCCTTCAGAGGTAACATTTCTCTTAATAAAACTTGGTGGGTGAATTTCTACCTTTTATGATTGTTTTGAAAACTGAATAACATGTTCAGCTCTCACCATAGTGAGTAAATAGTAAGTTCTCAATAAATGGGAGCCGTTGTCATTGTTGGAACCCTGGTGGTGCAGTGGTTAAGGACTCAGCTGCTAACCAAAAGGTCAGCAGTTCGAATCCACCAGCCTCTCCTTGAAAACCCTATGAGGCAGTTCACTTTGTCCTATAGGGTCGCTATGAGTAGGAATTGACTTGACAACTGGTTTGGTTTGGTTTTGGGTTATTGTCATTGTCATTAATAATAGTCCTTGTTACTACCTTCTGAAGTATAGCTGTTTCGCCCCCATTTTACAAATGAGTCAAGGCAAAAGAGAAAAAGCCAGACAGGGTCTGAACCCCGAACCCGTGCTCTTTCTGTTATACTATACCACATTATACTGCCCCACATAACCTAACAAAATGAAATACCACTGTGGCGTCAGCCTCATCACCCACATGGAGAGTCATATTGTAGTTTTCCAAAAATCATTCCTTTTTTAATGTAGGAATCCACTAGATAACATTTTTAAGAATTTTTCATATTTGAGTATCAACTTAGGACTCCCTGGGTGGTGCAAATGGTTAAGCACTGCTAGCTGAAAGGTTGGCAGTTCGAACCTACCCAGAGGCACCTCAGAAGACAGGCCTAGTGATCTGTTTCTGAAAGGTCACACCCTTGAAAACTCTGTGAAGCATTTCTAGTCTGCACACATGGAGTCGCCATGAGTCAGAATTGACTCAGTGACAACAAGAATAACAATGTCAACTTAGTTTGTAAAGCACCTTCACAATCATTTTGTTTGTTTGTTTGATCTTCATTATTAACCCTGTGAGGTGGTAATAATTTATTTGAATTGTATTCTGGGCCATGCATTGAGCTATGAGCTCCCTGGTGTATTATCTCATTTAGTTTTCACAGGATCTAGGATTTAGGAAAGTAAATTCTGTTTTACAGGTGAAGAATCTAAGGCCCAGAGAGGTTGACTAAATTGCCCAAAGTCACAGATTTAGTAAATACTGAAGATGGGATTCAAGCACAGGCCTTCTGACTGTAGAGCCCTCACTCCTAACCTCTATATTGTGGCAGACAAGATGGGGTTTTGTAGATCAGGAGTCTGAAGCTTCAGTAAGAGTTAAATATCATGGCCAATAAATGCGTGGCTAAGACTTGAGCCCTGTTATTCAGACTCCACATTCATTGCTATTTCTACTGCACCACTCTGCCTATTTGGTTTTGTCTGTGTTGGGCTAATATTTGAATTAATTTGCATTTGTCAAGCATATACCAACTACGTGGCTAGGGAAAGAAGCTAACCAGACTGAAAATCCTCTCTGGGTATTTGTTTCCAGAGCTGCCTGAATATTGGCCATATAAACACCAGGAGGATATTACTGTGGCTTTTGTTTTACCAGGAGAAAGAGCCACCTCCAACAGGAATCTTCCTTCCTCAGAGGCTTTGACAATTTTCTGGTCTCCCAACCAGAAAGACATCATCACCACTTCTAAGAAGAGGTGTAAATCCCCCTGACTTGTAATTCTGCCTCAGCTCCAGCCTCCCTTCTCCTTGACTTGCCTTGGCTTGTAGTTGGGTGTCGATCAGCTGTTATCCATAAAGCTATGGTAATGAGCAGGGTGGCCAAATTCCCAGCCATAGCAGAAGGGTCTCCAGCAGGAGTGAATGGTGGAGGAGTAGGGATACTTGATAGTTTTCAGACCATGGTTTGTGTCCTGAAGGAGCCCACAGTCGAGTAGAGGACACAAGACATCAAAATAGAAGATGCTGTACAGTCTGATGTGTGCTCTAGAATGCCAGGTACAGATTGTGAACCAAAGGAGGAAAGAGACAAGTCCAGTTGGGGAGTGAGGTCATGGAAGACTTCCCAGAAGAGGCATCCCTTTGCCCAGTTTTTTTTTTCTCCCCATTATTTTGGTTCTGTGCCTTGCAAGCATTTTTTTTTTTAATATTTTATTGTGTTTTAGGTGAAAGTTTACAAAGCAAATTAGTTTCCCATTCAACAAATTGTACATAAAGTGTTCCATGATCTTGGTTTCAACCATCACATTGTGTCAACACTCTTCCCATTTCCGCCCTGGGTTCCCCATTTCCTTTTGTTTGGTTTTCCTACCCTTTCCTGCCTTCTCATCTTTACTTTTGGGAAATGTTGGCCTTTTGGTCTTCCTGTATAATTGTTTGTTGAATACCAGAAAGTTGTTTACCTGTGTTTTATTGACTATGCAAAGGCATTCGACTGTGTGGATCATAACAAATTATGGCTATCATTGCGAAGAACGAGAATTCCAGAACACTTAATCATGCTCGTGACGAACCTGTACATAGATCAAGAGGCAGTTTTTCGAACTGAACAAGGGGATATTACATGGTTTAAAGTCAGGAAAGGTGTGCATCAAGGTTGTATCCTTTCACCATACTTATTCAGTCTGTATGCTGAGCAAATAATCCAAGAAGCTGGACTGTATGAAGAAGAACAGGGCACCAGGATTGGAGGAAGACTCATTAACAACCTGCAATATGCAGATGACACAACCTTGCTTGCTGAAAGTGAAGAGGACTTGAAACACTTACCGATGAAGATCAAAGACCACAGCCTTCAGTATGGATTACACCTCAACATAAAGAAAACAAAAATCCTCACAACTGGACCAATAAGCAACATCATGACAAAC